TAGGTAGATAGATAGATAGATGATAGATAGATAGATAGATACAAATGCGTACAAAGGTACACATAAGAAGGCTCTCCGATTGCCCTCCCTGGAAGTTCTCCCCACAGGCTTGCCTCAAAGTCGGGTTCTATTTCAGGTACATTGCTATGCCCTATAGCCTAAACCCTAGACTCTGAATCTTGACCTCAAGGGTCTGATGAGATCATGGAATCAGAGCGTCATGATTGGGAGCTGAAGGAGGCTTTATGGCTTGGGGTTCGGGTACGGTAAATTTGGGGTTCTGACGTTTAGGATCTGGTAGATTTGGGCCTGAGGGCTTAGGGATCCTGAGCTAGTGATCTGAAAGCTGAGGTTGAGGCTTCTTTGTCTTCACTAAATAGGGTTGAGAACAATATAAAAAGCTAGCTAAACCCTAAACCCGAAACCCTGTAATCCCTGAGCCCGGGCCCTAAGTCCTATCCCTCGCCCCCACTCTGCTTGAGAAACCGAGGCGCTGGTTTGTGGTGGCGGCATCGTGGGCACCGATAATCTTGCTCCTCAAGACGGAAGCAGGGCTTGGAGTTCAGGGTTTAGGGTTCAGGGTTTAGGGTTCTGGGTTCAAGCTTCAGGGTGTAGAGTTTAGGGTTGAGGGCTAAATAAGGGGGCTTGAAACCCTCAGCCCTAGAACCCCAACTCTAAACCCTCTCACACCACTAAAAACAAACCCGAAGCTTGGCTCCTTGGCGCCCTCATAAGCCATCACCCAAGCCCGACAGGTTGTACACAAGGGGTTAATAGGGTATCAGCGGGTGCTAAGGGAGTGATAAGGTATTTGGTTAGGGTTAGGCTTAGGGCCTTGGGTTGCGACCCAACTAAATGCCCCCGAGCCCAAAACATGCAGGCTTCGAGACATTCAGAGCTCGGCATTACGATTATTCCGGAAGTTCAGGCTTGGGCTTTCATGCTTCAACTTTATGCAGATGGCACTATACATACGCTTTTCTGGCTCGTGTAAACAACAAGCCGCACATTCCCACATCCCCAGCACTCTGAAACACCTTGGTTCGAGCAACCTGAAGTCTGTGGCACACGAATGTAACTCTTGCGACACCGACACATGTGTCCCGGAATGCACACGCTGGGGGCCAGCATGGATCGAAACAACTACGACCGAATGTTGCACGTTTGATATGCGGACTATGACTATGGGGTTTCTTACACAGTTGTCGTGTTCGTGCGGCTAGGACGGTTTGGAGTGTCGGGTTTGCATTTCAGGAACGTCCGATGAGCACGAACTGCTTCGATTCTGAAGCCTTCCTTCTGTGCTAGCAAAGCAGCAGGGGTATAGGTACGGTGCTTGGTGTTCCAATCAAACCAAAACAAAGTTGCGCTGCTTATAACTCTACAAATCAAGGAGTCCTCAAGCAAACAAAGGCCGAAAACAAAAGCCTGAAACTGTTTGTAAATGGGGAAGTTATTCGGGCCCTAGACGGTGGCACTTAGGGACATCATCCCTGAACCTTAAACCCTACCTAAACCCTGAACCCCAATCCAAACCCCTAAACCGCCAATCTGCCAGGACGCTTATAGTGGCAGTTGAACTTGCCACGCTCGCCCTGGCAATAGGCAAAGCTGTTGCAGCTGCCTATGCTGGAGCATTCCTCCTGCGCAGGCGGGGTGGTGTCGGCATATGCATGCAACCGTGTCGGCATATGGGATGTGAGCACCACCCTAAGTCTTGAATTCTCCATCTAGTCCTCTTATACTCAAACCGACACTTGAACCCCAAGCCCGCACGCTGAGTGAGTTTCGGCTTGATGCGATCATCCGGAAATTGGCCGACCCTGATTTGCAAAGCCGGCATGAACTTCGGAAAGAACCCGAAGGTACGGACACCAACCACGAAACCTAAACACTGCAGTTCCCGTGATATAGAGGCCCGGACAGTCTCAACCCTCAGACTGGCTTCAGGGTATCATGCCAAGGTTATATGGAGTTGGAAGGGGGGACCAAGACTAATTGCTCATTCCCTATACTCGCCTCTTTCAGCGGAATCCGAGTTTCGAACAACCATCAAATACTCCGCCAACCTGCAGCACTCATAATTTTCGGAGAGAGTTTAGGGTTTCAATTTCAGGCTTTCGGGTTCAGGTTTGGACCAGACACCCAAGTTGACAAAACCTCTACTAGATAACCCTAGACTCCCTAGACCCTAAACCCTATACGGGCCTCTCCTGGACTCCCCTCAAACATACTAAACAAGACCCTTTTTGACTCAAGCATGGCCGATCCACCACAGTCCAAAATACAATCCCCAAACGCAACCATTAAACTGAAAGGCTACTTAACGCAGGGGACCTAATAATTAGAACGGGAATTCGGGGTAAATTTTATACTATAATTATAAAAAACTGTCCCTCAAAGTAGTATAGGTAGTTATTAAGGCCCCGATTAGACCCTGAATACGGTGGGCTGGGTCCTGGCAGGCTTCGAAGCTTGCCATATGCAAGGTGTTGCCAACTCCTCAGCTCGAGGTTTACAAATTCAGGCTACAGGGGGGGCTTGAAGCTAAAGGTCCATGTTTAGGGCGAAGGTTCAGGGCTTAGGCGCTAAACCCCAAACCCTAAACCCTACTAAACCCTAAACCCTAAACCCCAAACCCCAAACCCTAAACCCTCCATGAATCGAGACCAGCGGCCAGGACCTTCATCAGCCACGAGGGTTCGCTGTGCGTAGCAGTCTGTGGCACCCTTGGCATCCTGGTGAAGGGATGGTGGCTAGAGTTAGGGGTTTAGGGGTTTAGGGTTTAGGGTTTAAGGTTTAGGGCTTAGGCATAGGCCCCAAAGTAGTTCCTTTTGGGGGCTCATATATAGAATCCTATAAGGTAACCCCAAAAAGGAGCTACTATGGGGCCTATGGCTAGAGTTACTACCCTATAGGTGCCTTCAAAGGCACCTAACTAACAGTTTAGGGTCAGCTCTTGCTTAAGAAGCTCTAGGCAGTTAAAGGGGTTTGCGAATTATGTTGTAAAATAAAACTACTAATTATGAGGAACCCCGCATGAAACGTGTTACTTATTATTCGGGCTACCTTAACACCCCCAAAGTAGGTAAGCCAAATTAAGGCCCAAAATGCTATTATACTCTTGGACTCTAGGGAGCCAAAAAGAACAGTTTCGCGGATTATTCATGTATACTTTTGGGGTCCAGGTCTTTCTTAAAAACTGAGATGAGATGCGGTGTGAGTCGAACGGGTACTAGGGTTCAGGGTCTTGGGGCAGGGGGCTAACGGTCTTGGGGTAGGCTTTGTAGATCCCCCCAACCCCTGAACCTTGAGTCTCATAAGCCTTAATTAAACCCTACTGTAGTATTTCGGAGCCCATGACTTAGAAGCACGGCTGAGCCCCGGCTATCCTTCTCGTTCGTGAAGAAGCGGACCTCCCGCAGAACCATGCCATTGGAGTTGCCTTGGTGAGAACAAGAAGCTTGAAAACTCAGGGGTTTGGGACGGTGATTCAGAAGGATTTTAGTGTTGAGGCATTCTTCAGGCGTCTGGGAGGGGTTTAGGAGTAACGACCGTAGCAGGGCACACTAAGCCCTTCACTTTCTCGAAGCCCTTGCTTAACCCAAAACCCACGTCGCCGACTCGAAACCTCGGAGGCTGATCAGCAGGACAAGAATCGGCTACTACCCTACCTATAGTCTCCATAAGGTAACCCCAAAAACCCCAAAGGGTCCAAAGCACCTATAGAGTAGAATGTGGGGTTTCTATATTCGGAATTTCGATTACGATTTGGGGAAGTATGCCCCATAACCATAACAGTACCTAGGACCCCTTGGGAAAGGAACTACAATGGAGACTAGGTAGACCCGACACCCGCAAAGTTTCCTTGCACAGTGAAGCGCAGGAAGTGGGAACAGGGATTTATGATGAATGGCTATACTTCGGCTTCAGGGGTTCAGGGCATTTTGATTAGACCCCCAAAAGTTGGAACATGGACTTAGGATGAAAAGTGCCCGGATTACCCTAGACTGGACCTTAGGACATGGGTGGTCCAACTTTCTGGCTTCTACTGTAGGCTTAGAAGCTCATGAGTTTAGCTCTGCAGCTGTCGGAGATTATGGGGGACTTCCAGACCTGTTCAGATGGGGTGCAAAAGGCAACTTTATTTCCTAAAACTACTCATTGAGGTTCCTTGTAACATAATTCTACTATACCTCGTGGCTCCTTAGCATCATTCTCCTGTAATCAACCCCTCAGCGATCTTCTGGAGCCTGTGCCGCCCAAGATGACACTGCTCTTCTATGCCCGAGCCATGATGGCTGCACCATGGCATCCATCCCGGTCGAATCCAACTACATAGACAGTGGCATTCACCGCGCATTCCATCCTGACAACCGGTTCCCCCAACCTCAAACTACCTCAAAGCAGATGCTAACCAAGCCTCTAAGCCCGAGGCCCTAAGCCCTAATTAAATCCCCTAAATCCTAAACCCTTAAAGGTACCTTTCAAGTCTTAAAAGGCAGTCTGTAAGCGGTCTACCCTCTAATAAAGAGATCATAACCTACCTTTTTGTATGGTGTGGGGTCAGGTAGGACTTAGGGCTCTTATAGGCTTGTGTTTTTTGGGGTTCCGGACTTGAGCTTAGGAGTCTTCCAGGGGTTTAGGGTTTAGGGCTTAAGGCATTCGGGGAACTTAACTTAAAATTGTGGAAACCACGTCTTGTCCGCAAGATCGAGCTCGAAGCAGAAGATCAAAAACCTGTGCCATATCTTCTCCGAAGCTCCTTGCAATCATAATCCATCGAAATCAGGGTTCTATATTAGGGTCCCCACGTCTCCCTTAGCTTTCAAGTACTTGAACAGAGTACAGGCATGAAGCCCCGAACCCAAAATCGTCAACGCCACACCCCAGGATCCAAACCCTAAGCCCGAAAACCTCGAAACCCAATAAGCCACAAACCCTAAACTCGAAACTCTAAACCCTGTACACCCCAAACCCTAAACTCGAAACCCTAAACCCTATAAACCCCAAACCCGAAATACTCGAAACCCTCGCTTCGAGATGCCACCCACGCCGGCAGAAAAGCGCCAGCGGAAGATGCGCTGCAGACTGGGGTTCTGGAGACGGTAGACCTCCCCAGAGGGTTGAGGGTTTACCTATAGTCTCCATTGTAGTTCCTTTGTTGTGCATACCTTATAAAATCCTTGATATAGAATTGGTTAAACCCTAAGGGTTGAGGGTTTAGGGTTTAGCGTTGAGGGTTTAGGCTTCAGGGTTCAGGGTTTAGGGTTGAGGGTTCAGGGTTCAGGGTTTAGGGTTCAGGGTTTAGGGTTGAGGGTTTAGGGTTTCCCCAGATCTTCCAAAATCCCTTACTTTAGGAATGTACCTCAAAATATAATAGGACCCCTCATATGATTTAAAGGTCTAGTCCTTAACTAAAGGGTTTTGGAGTCTCTGGTAGACCTGCCCAGAGGCTCCAAAACCCTTTCATTAAGGAACATAGCCCTTATAAGCTTATAAACCATATTAGGGATCCCATTCTACCTATCTATAGTCTCCATTGTAGTTCCTTTTGGGGTTGCCTTATAGGATCCTTCAAATATACTTGGTTAAACCAATCAAAAAAGAACTCCAATGGACTAGACATACATTCCTTAATTGAGGAACCCTGAACCCTAAACCCCTCAACTCCTGAACCCTAAACCCTTGGAAGATCTGGGTCTTCGGGTAGGTGCTACGGTTACTACGAGGCCCTCTGTGGATTCCTTCGTTGAAATACGACCAGCCAAACACCCCCTACTTTTTTATGGGTGGTCCAGTGGTCCCTATAACTCTATACTAGGGTTTAGAGTAAGAACCTGCAGATAAAAAGCTATACAAGTTTAAGGTAGAAGTTTCCGGCTTGGGGTTTAGATTTTTTGGGGGTTAAGCGCTAAGGCTAAGGGCCTTCATAATTGGAATAAGCTTCGTTCTATTTATTTTTTAATCGGGTTGAGTGTACGGGCCTTTATATAACAATTAGAAGAAGGGTGTGCGGTCCTTTGTAGGAACCATTAGGAATACTATTGGTAATTAGTATTACCAAGACCTCTCCAGGTGGGTGGCTCTTCTGTTGCTGAGGTCCCTTCTCCAATCTCCAGTCCAGGGGGGGCAGCAGCCCTGAACTCTGAGCCCCAAACCTTAAAACCTCAACCCTACTCGGAGGTTCAGGGGTAGTTGCACGTGGGTTTATAGTAGTCGTAACCCATCTTAGGGGACTTATACCCCTACTTGTAACTACTCATGAACCTCCATGTACCCTAAACCCTAAACCCTAAGGCGGAAGCATTGGGAAAGTTGGCATCCCTAGCAGGCCCAAAGCCAGGCTCGCCTTAGGGAGCAAAACCCACCTCCACACCATGGGTTTAGGGTTTGGGTTTAGGGTTCTAGGGTTTAAGGTTTAGGGTTTTAGGGTTTAGGGTTTAGGGTTTAGTCACCAGGATCCGAAAATTATTTGGTGAGGAGAATACAACCCAGCGTCCTAGATGTGGATATGCCGCCCCCCTCACACCCCAGGCGTGCGTTTGGGGCTCCATCCCAGAGGGAAATTACTGCTGCTGCGCGGCGAGACGGCCTAAACCCAAAACACTAAAACCTAAACCCTGCATCGAAAACCCTACACCCATCTACGCCCTAAACCCCGAACCCCCAAGCTGAACTTCAAAGCCTTAACCGTACATCCCACGTCCTAAGCCCCGCGGCCTGCTCACGGTAGTTTGAGCACCCGCGGCCCGAATGCTGGTCAAGCCTGGTGAAGGTGCTTCCGTCCTGAGAAGTCTGCGATTCATAGCCTTACCCATAAGAGTTTGGGGTTTTGGGGTTTAGGATTTAGGGTCTATCGGGTCTAGGGTTTAGGGTTTAGGCATAGGCCCCAAAGTAGTTCCTTTTTGGGGGCTCATATTTAGAACCCTGTAAGGTAATCCCAGAAAGGAACTACTATGGGGGCCTATGGGTAATGGTCCAAAGGACCTAACAATGAGGTACTTGGGCTGCGGATTGTAGTTTTGCAGGTTACTATTCGGGAGAGGATGTGATAATTAGGTACTCGCCCTTAGGGTAAGGGGTGGGGCTTAGAGTTTAGGGTTCAGGGGCTACCTCAAACAACCAGAAACCTACTTCTGCAGGGCAAACGAGAGCCTACAAAAAAAGTAAGTTATGGTAGTTTATGCTATGGTTTATAGTTTCGGGATGAGAGCCTGCGGAACAGGGCTTAGGCTTTGGGTTTAACGTTCCTCAGAAGCTTGTAATTATCTTGGTTGTGGATCGGGTGTTAGATCTCGGCTTTGGGAGTTTTGGGGTTATTGAGTTTACCCTGAACCCTAAACCCTAAACTCTAAACCGGGCATTCAACTTTTTGATTTCAAAAGACTCATTTAGTGGCTGGAACTTTGGAGGATTGAAGCTCAGCTCGCCTGGAAGTCTTGCTGCAACAGGTCTCGGGGCCTGATGAGGTTTAGGGTTTGAGGTTTCGGGTTTAGGGTCTCGGGTTTAGGGTTTCGGGTTTAGGGTTTCGGGTTTAGGGTTTAGGTTTAGGTTTCGGGGCCTGATGCAAAGTGCTGCGCTGTTTTGGTTGACCATGTACCGCGTGTACAGTACCTTTGAAAACAGGATATGGCTCTTAGGAAAAGGTACTAAACCCTAAACCCTAAACCCTAAACCCTAAACCCTAAACCCTAAACCCTAAACCCTAAACCGTCTTTATGC